TTTTCTCTCCAGTCTCTCTCTTCACAGCAGACTTGTGTTGTCCTTTCACCATCTAGTATCCCAGGTGTCTCTCCTATTTATATCACTTTCCTTCCATATTTGATGTTGGGAAATCAATCATCTAGGCCTTTACAGGACATGTTTTGTGCCACATCTCTTCAGTGTCTGATCATAGTTTAGATGGGCCAGGTTTGATTCTGACAAGCTTCACAGGGACCTGAGAGCTGTGTTGGAGTTCTTTGGCATGCTTTTAGAGATGGTGTTGGGTTTTGTTTTGCAACAAAGATCCAGTGTCTGACTCTTGGTACATGGCAGAAAAATAAGCATTAAATGTGAATTTGACTGGCACATTGCTACTCAAAATTAAAATCAGCGTTCTCTCTCTGAGGAGAGAATGGACATTAAGTAGACAGTTGTAAAGTTTTCTTATGTCAAAAGTTTGTGTCCCATCTTTTTCTCCCAGTTCCTTAATTTTTGCATAGCGTCTGAATTTAGCTTGAGAGGGGAGAGTAACTGGAGTAGTCTATGTTGGTGTTTGAGGTTAATGTATATGGAGAATTTAGCAGTGTGCTGCTGGGCCTTGTTTCAGGCATCATCTTATATAATCCCTACATCAGCCCTTTGGGACAGGTATCCTCGTTGTCCTTATTTTACTGCCGAGAAAACTGAGGCACAGAGCAATTACATAACTCACCCAAGGTCACATAGCTAGTAAGTGGTAAAAGTTGGCTTTCAGCCCAGAATGTTCTAACTTCATAATCAGAGTTTCTTGTCCAGCTATGCTGCTTTTCTCCTTTCTCTCTTCTTTTACCCTTAACAGAAATATTAATATTGGCTTCTTGGTCAATCTTATGTATCCTCTCTCAGCTAGCCCCAACACTGTCACTTTACTTGGTCCCCACAGCCACAGGGTAGCCATCATCAAATCTATGCTTTTCTCCCTTTTTCTTCCAAGCATTGTGTTTACTCTGTGTGTTGGCAGCAGAAACCGAAAAGGAAATGCAGAAAAAGCATCTAACGGTTTTCATAACGTAAACCAAATGTTGGTAGCGTGGGTGAGCTCTTGGGAGGAGAGGCGCTATATAAATCTGACAAATAAATAAATAACTGGTTCTTTAAATAAACTGGCACTGAAAAAGCCTTAATCTGTAACCTATTGAATTTAGACTCACTCAGTAGTCTGAAGTCTTCTTTTGCTCACCAACTGTGAGTTTGCTGGGCCTCAGCTCTATTGGGATAAGAAGTGGGGGACAGGCAGAGGGGTGTTAGCAGGAGAAGAGGTTTGTGGATCCCCTGCCGCCTCTCCAGTGCAAATGATTGTCTCAGTCTCAGTAAACAAGAGGCATCTTTGTCATAACTGAACGTCTTTAGATACTTCAAAAGGATTGTGGGAAGGGGTTCAAATGAAGTCAGTGAGTAAAGTTCACAGAATGTCTTTTGAGGACAACTGAATTACTTTACTAATCTCTGCAAATAAAAGCCATTATTGGCAGCAATCTCTGAGAGGCTTTTTCTTCCAAATGTGTTGGTTTTGTGACCTACCCTTAGGATGTCCTTTGTCACACCCACTCCCTTAAAACAGACCACGACTGAACTACCCCAGTTACAGAATCTGTTCTGCAGATCCCTGGGGGCCCCTAAGCTTTGTGTCCCCTTCAAGGGGCTGCTGTCTGGTGCCCAAATAGAGGGACCCTTTCCTGAAGAAGCTGTACCAGGCCAACTCTAGAGTTTCATTCTGGAAGGTGAGAAGTTGAGCGGGGAACGGAAGTGTAATGAATGGGCCTGCCAGCTGCAAAGGCTCTGGTTACAGAGCTGAGTAGTTTTCATCTCAGAGCCATCAAAGGAAGTGGCTGGTGGAGGTCACCTTTGAAGGTGCTGAGATGGAGGGGAAAGGAGAGGGAGCTGGGAGGATGGATGCCCTTCCGTGTCCATTCTTGTTAGCATCAGTTTGCGTGTTTGATTGTAATAAGACCTTAATATCTTCATGTTTCTCCTCTGCCCACTAGAAATTTCTTTAAAAATCCAGGCTTGCTGTGTGCTCCTGGTGCCTATTTTCTAAATGTCAAGCCTAAACCCAAGTTTCAAATTTACACTTCTCCAAAGACCATTAAAGGTTTCCTTAAATAACTGCAACCTTGAAAATCTCATTCCTGATGAAGTTCCACTGTAATGCATTCAACACCCCGATGAAACCTTACATCGTTTGTAAAGCGTGTATTGGCATGGCAGAGTCTGATGCTTGGGTATTTGGGATAAAAGGATCAGGATGTCTGTGATGAAAGAATAAAGATATATAAGACTTGTTCTGTGATCTTCATGTTATAAAATGATCTTTGTCACTGCTTTTGGCAAGGTAATAGAGGCACACAGAGGCTAAGTGCCATGCTGGCCCTGATCAGCAGTGTTATCTGCCCCCAAATCTCTTCAGTTTATGATTTTAAATCTTGATGTTCTGGAAATCTGTTGGCCACCTGTTGCCACAGATTGATTCAAATCAAATTCAAATCTTTGACTAAAGCTATTCATAGGACTGAAGCTAAAAGTAGAGAATAAGTTCTTAATATGATAGGATTATGGTGCTGATTTGTAAAAATGCAATGAAATCAGCTGTAAATCCTTTCTTTCTCTCTGAACTTTAGCTTCTACTTTCTACTTGAAGACATATATTCACAAAAGCATTTCTTTATACACATAGATTAGTGCCTCATACATGTTTTATTTGAGACCTCGAGATGAGGGTTCCCAGCCTTCTGAAGCCTACCCGCAGTAAGCCATGATTATTAACAATGGCAGAAACCGGGCTTTGTAGACATGATATTATTTCATCATCCCTGTAGTATTTTGATAGATAATGCATCCCCTTGTTCCATAGAAGGAAACTGAAGCCAAGAAAATGTGCCCTCTCTGCTTCCCTGAAGTGACATCCTGTTAAGATCTCAGATACTCCCTTTTACCAACTGCCTTCCCTACGGGCTCAGGACAGCTGGCATGCATCTGTATTTCTCACACAGCTAAAGGATGGTCGTTGATTAAAAACAATAACGAATGACTTTTTTTGTTCTTAGAAAATATTACGTATTTGTTACTAAACTGTGATCAACAAGAGAAAACCAGCAAAAATCATACCCACCCAAAAATGATCAACATTTAGGTGTAAATCTTTCCAAGCTTTTATCTGATACCATAGATGCTTTTTTATTTTTGCAAAAGTGTGATGCTCTTTGTATTACTTGTCAACATGCTTATTGACAATGCATTCAAATTGTCTTTCTAGGTTCTTACACATTTGCATATTTCATGTTTGATTGTTGTTTTTAACTAAATAACTGTATCACAGTGTACTTAGCTGGGACATTTGCTTTGGTAGCCATCTTTACCTATGATTTCAGTACTTTTTATATCCCAGGCGTAGAGGTTAGCCTCTTCGTGGCTTTTTGGCTAAAACAAGTATAGAAATTGGCCTACTCATGCCCCAAGTAATCAAGAAAAGCTATTTCTTGCTTTATACCTAGTATCTAAAATGATTAATAATGAAGTTAAGTTTTTTCTTTGTGACCATTAGTTTATTTAGTATTTTTTTTTACTTGGGCCCTTTACCCAATTTTTCTATTGGGAGGTTCATCCCTGTTAGATTTTAAAGACAGAAATCCAACGATAATACCACTGCTGTGCTTGTTTGAGCATTTTCCCCAGTTTTATTTTTGGTTTTGTTTTTAGTGTTTTTTGATTATAGAAGTGGATACAGTAAGGTTTAGCCATAGATACTTCCTGGCTTAGCTGTTGGTATGATGCACAGAAACATTTCCCATAGCAGTTTTTACACACATTTACTGTTAGGATTTTACATTGAAATCTTTAATTAATTCATATGAAATTTATTTTAGCACATGGCATAAAGCTGAGGTCTAAACTTTTTCACATATTAGATTAAAATTCTAACCTTAACAAATAGTAAAATTTGGAATATACTAGACAGTTTTCGACTTCCCATTCAATTCCTTTGATGATTCTGTTGTGACTGTAATATTTGCCAATATCTAATCAGTCATTACTTCTAAAAAAATTATTTAATCTTTATAATAAAGTTAGGATCGTCTTGGTAAGTTGATTTTATAGGATAAGTTGCTTTTATAGAATAAGTAAATCAGTCATTTCAAAGTCTTAAATATTTTTTTAATTGAGATTTTTTTTTCCTCCTCAAGAAACAATTTTTTAAAAGATTTATTTATTTATGCATACAGAACTGGGGTACAGGCCAGAGGTGCAGGGCCGTGAGAGGATTCACCAGAGACAGAGTGGGGAGCAGAACAGGCAGACTGACAAAGTACACTGCTGAGGGGGACAGTGGCAGAGACAGGAGAGGTCTGCGGCGCCATGTGGGTCACCCCCGGGGCTGGGGATCAAACTCTCACTGAAGCCGCTGCAGCTGGCTTGCAGTGCTGTGTCCTAACTCACTGCGCCACCAGGGAGGGCCCAAAAAAACCATTTTAAGGAATTTTTTTCTTAAGGATTATACATTCCCTAATTATTCTTAATGCTAGTATGTTTTTTATTGCCATTACTTATCAGATTATTTTTTGTTACATTTTCTAACTAGCTAATTTGTTCTTTTTGGTCTTTAAAAGTCAATTCTATATACAGGGGAGAGAATGGATGAATTAGTGACAAAAAATATGTCTGTATGAATGTCAATGTGTGTTAGTGCTATTTGCAATTAATTGGCTTTATATATTTGAATACTTAGCCCAACTGCTTGAAATAAACATTCATGGAAAATAAGAGGCTACCATTTCATTGCTCTACTTTTTTGCCACTCCCTGACTCAAGAGGTGTGAAGTGTGAAATAAAATTTTGAGAAAAGGGTAAAAAGTCCAGAAATAAACATTAATGAATACTTGCGCAAATAATTCCCTAATCTAGATTTGTAATCGTCAGTGTTTATTCATAGTAGGCATTCATCATGTTCTCAGTTAAGCATTGTAACTGCTTTCTTTTTACAGATTTCAGAGACAACTGTCTGAACCCTGCCACCCCTTTCCTCCTCAGTCAGGAGTTCCTGGAGATAATCGCCCCAATTACCACCGGCAAATGTCAGAACCTATTGTCCCTGCAGCTCCTCCACCCCCTCAGGGATTCAAACAAGAGTACCATGACCCACTCTATGAACATGGGTTACCAGGCATGCCAGGGCCCCCAGCACATGGATTCCAGTCACCAATGGGAATCAAGCAGGAACCCCGGGACTACTGCGTTGATTCAGGTTAGCATACCTAACACTCCATTCCTTTCTTCATTCTCATTCATCTGTCTGATTATTGTCTTCTGTGTGTAGGACTTTGGGAAATAATTCTATAAAAATTGTCCTCAAAATATTTAGGAGCTAGTAAAAAGCAGACGTAATTGAATACAAGCAGAACAGAAGCCTTGCTGACAGTAGGCATTCAGACACCTCTCTGGCCAAGTCAGAAGGTTGCTGGGATCCAGTCTCAAGTGACGTCCTTTTGAAGACCTATTATCTTAAGGTCACTGGACATAAGGAGTATTATTTATTCATTTTAATCCTGCCTCTAGTTCTGTGACTTACTTTCTTTTCTTTCTTTCTTTCTTTTTTTTTTTTTTAATACAACAGCCTTGAGTGGTGTTGTACAAACACACCTGGAATGTCACAACTGTGTGAGGTGGTGGAAGCTTCTGGCAGTTGTTTTCATGGGATGTAATGCTCTGTGGTGGTGTTTTCATCTGTTATTGTGTCCTTCGGTGGTGCGGGTTTACACAGGGGAGGAATACACATGTTTGGGCATCTCTTCCTTGGTTATGGGTTACCACTTATCTAGAGACTTCCTTATGTTTAAACAATACTTGGGAGCCCTTCCTTCTTCACCCTGTCTTTCTCTCTCCATGTTATAGGCCAGGCATATTAAATGTGATCATTAAGGAAGTTTTGCAGCATGCATATTTAGAAATTGTTTCCTCCTCTTTGTTTCCCCTTCTATCAGAAATGACTTAAACTTTCTCATTCTTTCTTTGCCGTTGATAGTTAAGGAATTTGAGGGTGGTGGTTAGGTTATCAAACCTTTCCCTTCCATTTTCTTGACCCTGGGGATGGGTTAGTGCAGCAAATGTACTTAAATGACACTTGCAAATGGAAGGGAATATTGGATTTGCTCTTGACTTTCTTTGAGATAATGTGTAAATTGCTGAAATCAGTCTGAAATTGGTTATGAGAAAGGTTGAGGAGGTAGGCAAAAAGGAGACATTTGTTGGCTTTATGATACAAAAATTACCAAGTGTCAGGTATTGATAGCTTACAAAATTTCCACTGGCATTGTTCCTGAAAACTTTGATGTATTTTCTCAGGAACCGACATGACCAGCAACATTTTTCCTTTGGGATTGACAGTTCAATCTGTCCTGACTGGTTTCTCATTCCACCCCACTCCCTCAAATACAAGAGTCAACAAATGTTACCATATCCGTCATTCTCTGAGTGCTATTCGCCCAAGTAAAGGCTCTTCCCATGTGAGCACAGTTCAACTGTCTTATCTTTCCTATTGATAAAAGCCTCTTAACACAAGCCTGGAGTCAAGATCACTTGAGTGTGGACTTCAGTTTAACCATCCCAACATGGAGAAAATGTACTTCGAAACCCCTGCCCCTGCTCAGGCCATGTCTTATCCTAGCTGCATAACTTCAAATCCCCTAATCTCTTTGGCCTAAAAATACTCTCACTTCTTGGAGCAGAACTGGGTGTGACCAGTAGCAGTAGAAGAGAACAAATTGGGAAAAATCTAAAGTGATCCTTCTCCCCACCAAATACCCTGAGACAGGATAGACAGAAGGCAAAAACTGTTTTTCAAAAGCCAATTTCTTTTTCTATCATTAACTATCTCACCAGATTTGGTGTTAAATAATTTCTAAAATGAGTGAATTATGAGTGTGAGGTATCATTTTATACTCCCATGAGTCTTGATTAGGAGCCACAAATGCTACTTTGAGAGCGTAATTTCTCATGTCGTCTATTGACTTAGTGCCCTTCTCCCAGGACAAGGTCAAAAAGATATGACCTTGGAGCAGAAGGCTTAGGCGCTTTGATGCAAAGCTTCATTTCAGCTGATGTTCTGATTCAACTGCAGAAGCTACTGACACGGGTGTGTGTGTGTCTTTGTGTGTGTGTCTTATTTCTCTTCCAGAAGTGCCTAACTGCCAGTCATCCTACATGAGAGGAGGGTATTTCTCCAGCAGCCATGAAGGTAAAAAAGCTGTTTTGTTGTTGTTGTTTTTAATAATATTCCAGCAAGCTTTAAATTGTGCAATTTCCAGGTGAAAATTTGAGATCCAAGTTAAACTTTCCTGAGCTCATGACTTTGAGAGCTAATTGACCATTGTCTTCAGTTAGTGGGCACAAAAGGAGCTGTGGTGTTCTCCTGAGCACTGTGAGGGCTGCCATCATTTCCAGTCACAAGGACCCTAACTTCTTAGTTTGGGGGTCAGTGAATAGTGCAACCTGGTTTGCACATTCCCTACAAGAAGGTTATCTGGTGTATACAACTTGAGATTGTGGGTAAAAGGTCTCCCTACTGAATAATGAAATCAAGATTTTTCCTTATAAGCAGGTTCCCCAAAAGAATGTCTTATGTTCCATCATACAGATCTCCATAAATATCTAGATTAGTGAGATTTACCTTGTTGGAAAGACAGATTCTCAGCACCAACCCAGATTTACTGAATCAGAAACCCCAGGGGAAGGGCATAGCAATCTGTTCTTTCAGGCCTCCAGAAGATTCTGAGTACTGAGATTTTACAACTACCATAGAGCAGTGATTCTCAACTTAGGCAGCGCATTAGAATCACTTGAGGAGTTTTTGAAAGTTTTGATGTCCTGCCTCTGCTCAGTGCAGTTAAATCCCAAATTCTGGGGTAGGACCCAGACTTTACCTTTTTTTTTTTTTTTTTAAGATTTATTTATTTATTCATACCAACTGGGGTACAAGCCAGCGGTGCAGGAATAGTGAGAGGCTTCACCTGAGACAGAGTGGGGAGCAGAACAGGCAGATCTATGAAGTACACTGCTGAGGGGAGCAGGGGGCCGGTCAGGAGAGGTCTGCTGGCCCATGTGGATCACCTCTGGGGCCAAGGATCAAACTCGCACTGAAGCAGCTGCGGCCAGCTTGCAGTGCAGTGTCCTAACTGGTTGAGCCACCAGGGGAGGCCCCCCCAGACTTTACTTTTAAAGCTCCCAGGTGACCCCAGTGTGCATCCAGGTAGCCTATTCCTGTTCTCTAGAGACTGAGGGCAAGGATGGAAAGAGTGGATACACAGCACTGGGAAACGCAGGCTGGTTCGTGTAAGAGACTGGTTCTCAGTAGTGGTTTCTGCGGGTAGCTACTTCACAATGACCTGGTTGGGGGCACACTGGTGCCCTGTGATGTGCTTAAGTAGTGTCCAGCCATGGAAGGAGGACTCTACCAGACCTCGCACTGTGAACAGCACAGCTGTGTGGGGCTCTCTTCCAGGTTCGAGAATGTTTCTACAGCAGTAATTGATGTCTGCAGCAGGCAAACTAGGAGGGAGTGGGGGAAGAGAAGGAGGAAAACATTTTGCATAATTACAACATTCAGAAAGGAGCATGCTCTTAAAGGAAATATTTTTAGTAAGGCACTGGGCTGCTTACTACACACAGAATTTACGTGGTTTCCCCCCACTCTTTCCCATTCCTTTCCCTAACCCCACACACATCGAAGGAGTTAGTTACAAAAAGACCAGCTTTCGTAATTGCTCTAAATTACCCTGACATGGTTTTTCTATCCTCATACAGGCTTGACCACAGATGCCCGTGAAACAGTTAGTGAGACAAGTGTTTCTGATTGGCATCTGTGATCACTAAGATAGCCATCCTGCCTTAAGCGTTCACCTGGAATCTTCGCCTTCTGTTTTGAATCTTTCATTTCCACTTTGCACCTCAAACAGGTTCTTCCTTCCTGTCACCTTTTTTTAAGTGCTGGCATGGTTGTGGCCACATCTGATACAACTGCTGGTGCAGATTCAACTGACTTTAAGTTTCACTTAAACCAACAGCATCATCCAGATGTTTTGGAGAATCACATGTGGCAATAACAAGAAACCACACAATATACCAAAATGATACTCATGGGCAGACCTTCATCTGATTGGTTTGTAAACGAAACCTAGAATTTTCACTCCCCCCATCCCATACTGTGAATACATTATCCTTACCTTAGAAGCACAAACACTCTAGAAATAACAAGGTATGTAAAGTTGGAAAAAGTTCACTTAGTGATTTTATAAGGCTATTAAAACATGACTGGAGTATCAAAACTCATATAAAAGGAAATATTTAGCTTCCCAAAAGCCAAGGCTAAAAGCATGAAGCATAGCAAATTATCTTGTATCATTATACTCTATTAATAATAGAAAGTATAACAATTTGTCATTAAAAGTCAGTTACCTGGTCCCAGATTTCTGAGTAAATTTATTACAGGATTCACTGAATCCCAATTTAAATGTAGCATTGTAGTCTTAAACATTTTTATTTTTTGATGACTACAGACTCTCTCTTTTATTTATTGAACATTTAGTATATATCTGACAAAAGAATACTAAAATAATCAAAGCATGGTCCTTATCCTCAAAGAATCCTCAAAGAATCCTCAAAGATCACTGGCATCCTGACCCAGGGAGCTATATTTATAGCTGTGAGTGTTTGCACGCTCTACAATAGCACGCTATGTCGTGTGAGTAATGAAACCTAGGAGGGAAACGAAGCCATGGGAGGCTGGCAGTGGGAGGTGAAAAAGAGCCTGACTTACCGCATCTCCCCAGGCTTCAGATGAGGAAACAAGCACAGAAAGATTCACTTGTTGAAAGTCACAGAGCTATTGGGTCCTGCTTTCTAATATTTCATACCACATCATCATGTCTCATTGAGTATTTATTGATTGTCATTTTTATAGATGGGACGCAAGCACTATGAGAGCAAGGGCCAAGTTTGTATACTTTTAACTACTCTACCGTCTTCTTGCACAATGCCTGTATATAAATATTTATTGAGTTAACTAAATGCCAATGAAATAGACTTCTCTGTGATAGTTCAGTAACAGAGAGATAGTGCTGTGGGTTGAGGAATCAAAAAGGAATACTATAAGCCTTAAAATAATCTTGTTTCTTCCAAAGTGGGCAGTATTTTCCCAGTCCTCGGCCTCTTAAAAATGGTGCTGGTTCTGCCAAGAAGCACTTCCTCTGGGCTGACAGGACAGAAAGAACAGCAGGGTATTGCTTGACACTTTGACCCATAGATTTTCAAGTCATAACAAATCCTTTTCAAACCAATGCATAACCCTTTACCTCCAGAGCAGCTTCCCCTGCCTGCCTCCAGAGCATCCCTGACAACACACACATGATACACAGCCAGCTGAATCAACCTGAGAACAGGGACCATCTTAGACAGGCGCTCCAGTGCTTTCTCCTGAGAAATACACTGGTAAAGGGTCATGCACTGACATGCTCACAGGCGAGACCGCAGGGAAGGATGTGGTCTTCATCAAGCCTGCCTGCTAACTCGCTTTGATTTGAACTGCTGATCTTGTCAGGGTGCCTGGTGACACAGTGGAAAGCCCAGAATGGCATAGTAGGGACTGACCGACGATGTCACACCACCCTCCCTTCTCCATGACCCCTTTTACTTCTTGCCTGACTTTCCTTTCACTTCCACTTCCTTGTGTTGTTGATGCTGTTCCCCTTTCTTCACCTGTTTTATTATCTATACAATGGATAAATATGATTGCTAGAAAGCCTCTTTGGATTCCTTCCGTTATGTCTGATGATCACACCTCCAGTTTGCTTTTAAACTTACTGCTCTTTGCATTCCTCCACGGGCCAACACTTTGCTCATTTTGGCAACATTCTCCTCCAAGCTATTTCATAATTGAACAAGGTGTGTGGGCAGCCAGGACAAGTTGTAGGAAAGGTTGAAATTAATATTCGCTAAAAGGAAAATGGCAAGACAGTGTGCAGATTAGCCACATCCACCTAGGGAGGCCAGCTGAAATAGACGAGATGTCTTTTCAGATACAAAGGCTTAGACACAGCAAGACTGTTCCATGCAGACCTCGTAAGCAAGATGTGAAGGACCTTACTGGTGATTCACTGCCTCCCCACAGCCTTCGCTCTAATAGCAGGAATTGATGTCGCTGACCGAGGAGGCCTAGATGATTACAACAGAACATGACTCCCTAAGTCCTTTTGACGTTCCCCCAAAACTAAGTCTGGCATCATGCAGGGCTTACATCCTGAACTGATAGAATCCCATTTTAGTCCTTAACCCCAGAGTTTTAGTGTAGAACACAGAATTTGCGTTAAGCAACACATTCTTTCTTTGTAATTCTCCTTTAGGTTTTTCATATGAAAAGGATCCCCGGTTGTACTTTGATGACACCTGTGTTGTTCCTGAGAGGCTGGAAGGTAAGTAGCCCCACCCAGGGCTTGTTGCTAGGCTGGAGGTTTGGAGAAGTTAGTGCAGCTTTTTGTCCAGATCACCTGAGAAACTCAAGACTGAACTATTGCATTCTTGTCTTTGTCCCAAACAGGCAAAGTCAAACAAGAACCCACGATGTATCGGGAGGGGCCCCCTTACCAGAGACGCGGCTCCCTTCAGCTGTGGCAGTTCCTGGTTACCCTTCTTGATGACCCAGCCAATGCCCACTTCATTGCCTGGACAGGCCGAGGCATGGAGTTCAAGCTGATAGAACCCGAAGAGGTAAGCATTGGACTGCAGTGACTGTTCATTTGTTGATATGAGTGATGATGTTTGCTCTTGTTTAGATTTCCTTTGCAGCTTTTATTGAGCCATTAAATATGCTCTTTCTTCTCACTCAATTCTGACCTGGTCAGTAGGTGTGGTCGTGCCGTTCCTATTGATAGGACAATTTACAACTCGGGGATAGGCAGTAGTAACACTTCTGTGAAATCTGGGGAGTCCATGGAAACTTACCTACAAGTGGAGAACTTTTCCCTCTGGGAAAGTTTTTCAAGTGTCATTGCTGTGTGAGCAGTTTGTTTTGCTGTCAGCTCTCATGTCATAGCCTATATCTGAAGCTCCATGAACACATTATATGGCATTTTGTTAATATACTGCACCTCACTGCTTCAAGTTGTTTTAACCTATAGAGATAAAATGATCAGAAATGGGTCAGTTTTGGGAGCTTAGATTTTTAAAGTGTATTATGTGGCATCACACTAGCTCAGAAATGACACAAACACTCATTATTTTGTTATTAGGAAAAACAAATTTTTACTGCCTGTTTGCCCAGAACTATTGGCAGAGGACCTACGGGTGGGCAGAACTAGTACCATTTCTCTCTTCAATGGGGCACACATACCCAGAACTCCTTTCCCAAATATGATACAACAAAGTAAATTAAATCAGGCTCACAGTTCAGCATCTTCTCTAGGGGCTGATTTTTAATTTCTGTTTGATTTAGAATTTAGAGAGATTATAAATGGAAAATCTGAAAATACTCTTCTTTCGTAGCATAGACTTAGGCATTCTATATAAAATCAGCGAGAGCTAATGGTGTCTTTGGGTGTAATTGAAATGGAGATGGTGCTCTGGGAAGACATTTGAGCAAGAACCGAAGTTTTACATGTTGTGAGGTTGCTCTGGACTCGCTGTCACACAGCAAGGGGTTAATGGCAGGTGTGGGACTAAGAGCAGCGGCTCACAACCTGGCCCTGGGTTTGGAGGAAGAAAACAGTCTGAAAGTTAACTTTAGGAAAAGAAGAACATGTAGGTTGAAAACTAAGAGTCTTATGATTTGGTAGGAAACAAAGAAAGGGTTCAAAAAGGCAGTAATAAAACATACCAAAAAAAAGGACATTTGAATCTGAATAGCATTCCCTATCTCCTATCAGTTACAAAATGTGTGACTTCTCCTGTGGTAAATTGCTTCTATTAAGACTCAGTGTACCTTCAGAGCCAGGGTTTGGTACTGCTATGTTTTCCGAAGGGTTTCTTTTTGGCGTAGTCACAGAGAAATGGAGCCACGTTTTAGGCTTCCAGCCACCCAGCCCACATTCTTTTTTCTTGCTGCTTTTCCTCATAACATGGCCTGGTTTATGTGAGGCTTGAGGAAGGGAAAGCATGTTACCTCGACTCTCTGAGGCCTTTGAAAGTAAATCTGTCTTGTGGGCCGCCCTTATTGATTTATCTCATTTCACAAACAGGAGCTTTTATTACTTTATTGCCACTGCCTCAGGCCTAAGCACAGGCTGTCCAGCTGCAGGTAGACCTGGTTATGACCCTTTGTAAAGCTGTTATTGAATCTTCTGCTCTCCTACCAGTGGTAAAGAAAATGATGAACAGATGGCAAAGGGCCACTGCTCTCCTACTTAATAAAGAAACTAATATTAATGCTCATAAAGGCCAAGCAGCCAACGTGTGTGAGAGGCCTGTGGTGGTGTTGAGCTTCCTCAGCTGATTGGACAGCTTTGTTTTTTCAGGAAGTGCTTCTTTGCACCCCACCTTGAAATTCTCGAGCATTCCGGAAGCTCGGAATGTTCCGTTCTCCTAACCCAGGACCCATTCTGTTCCACATGTGCACTTTGGCCTCAAGACTTGCAACGTTTGTGAAGTTTGTCCACTCCTTGTGTAACTTTCTGGCCCAACCCTGGTTCCTGTCAGAAAGATACCAACTCCATGAAAAAGCTGTAAGAAGTTGTTGTGAGGGGAGCTTGAAGGGTGAAGCGGAGGAGGAAGCTGTTTGGGACGTAATTGTAGGCAGCTGTGTGGCTGAGTAGTGCACTCTGGGTAATTATCCATAATATCCATTACACTGTGCATGGAAATTGTGGTTTTAGAGCTGCGTTTTGGCAGGCCCCCTAATCAAATGTCTTTTGATAGTCATCCAGCTTAGCACCCTCTCAATTATGACTGACTCGGCTTTAATCTGGAGCCATTTTAACTGTGAATCTGCATTAATGAATATTTTGGGGGGTAGGGTTGTTTGTTGAACATGTGGCAGATAACTGATGCCATGGGGACGTTTAAAAGGATGGGCTGCTAGGAAGAGCCGCTCCTGGTGCCCGTTACTCCTGCTCTCTCTTCAAAAGGGAGGTAGAGAGACGTGAATTCTTTAACTCTTTCAGCCTCAGCTCTCCAGATGCGCACTATCAAAGTAATTGAATGAGAAAGATGAAAGAAAGACTTGGTAACAAGCTCTTGCCTGCTGCCTTTGCCCCAGAAACGGGGCAGCCCTAATTTCCAGCTGCTCTGAAGTTGTGCTGCGTCATGCCTTGCTGTAGCAAGAGCAGCCCTGATGAAGGCTACTGAATCACAGGGCCCTGGCCCAAGAGGATGAGTCAGTCACTATGGCTACCAGAGCTGCTTTGAAATCTGTGCATCCACAAAGCCTCTCTCCAGTGAGCTGTCGCATATGCAAATGACAGCCACAGAGAGGTCATCCCTCAAGCTTAAGAATATTCAGGAACCGTGTCCACCCCCGAACATAGTAAAATGATGAGACTGGATAGCTTTCTGTGTTCCCTACCTCCCTGTGGCTGACGCTATAGTTCTAGCTTCATAGTGTCGTTTCTTTTTCTTTCTTTCTTTTTCTTTTTCCCAGATTACATATCTTGAGGTGAACAAGGTTTACATCATTGTGTCTGCTTGGGGGTGACAGGTTTAAACCTCTACAAATGTTTATTTTTACATCCTGCCCAATACCTGTGCCCCAGCCATGCGCCTTTGGGCTCCTTCTCGCCTTGGTTTTGACTGACCCTTTGTTATGTTTCTCTGTATTCCACTGTGGTATTTCTTTTGAGCATCTTTTTTTGTTGAACAGGGTGGAAGGACATACATTGGTTTAGCAGGCTTCTCTTTTTACAACAATTTCCTTTGCTTTAAAACATTTATTTTAATCTACCCAGGGGGTATGATTTTTTTGGTTAATTTGTTTTGGGGGGTATTTCAAAGACAGATTTGAATGGGTGCAGTGTGGAAAGAGGAGACCCAGGGGTGTTGAGTATGCCATAGGGGCATGAAGCTAATGAATGGAAATTTAACTTTCACACAGTTTCATGCAAGGCAGAGTGGAATCAGGGCTATTGAATTATTCTAATGTAATTAGGACAGATGCATTCATCCTTACTTATCAGATCATTTCTGGAATTTATTAAAGGTCATTTTAGAATTCTGAGTTAGAAGCTGTTGCTTTCATTCTGCCCAAATACTTTAAGGAAATACTTGAAGTGAAATGCTTCCTTTTGATCCACTTTTCTATTTGCAGTCCCCCTACTTCCCACTCCATGGCTAACATCTGGCTTTTAAAAAAATCAAAGGAATATAAGTTGTTTTAGAAATTTTTTTTCTTCTTCTGATTTTCAAGACTGACCTAAAATGTTCAAAACAACTAGTTTGCACACAAGTAAAGACCTCTGACAGGACTTGCATTTCCAGGGTTATTCTCATATCATCACAGTCAGCCTTGTAAGCAGGACTTGGGATGTTCAAGTACTTGAGAGCAGAAACTGCTTGGCTGTCCCAATAATTGGGTGAACTCCACTAGGAAGTTTTCTTGATATAAGGCTTCTTTGTCCAAAGCTCCAATTACATTGCCCCATCACTGCACCTCAGGTGGACTGGGCTGGATATAATGCACTTCAGAACTGTTTGGGAAGCCCTGTTAATTTTTCATTAAGTGGATAATGGTGCTACATGTTTTAATGTCCATTCTGCAAATCTGCTGGGAACAAAGGATTGGATGGCAGCGGGCTGAAATGATCTGATTCCTCCTTACTCCATGAGCTGCAATAAGTAAACATCTCCCAACCCCTCTCCAATCTTATTAGAATTGAACTTTTGCTCTGCTGGCCCATTAGCAACTCACTAGTGTGTTTCTAATGTTTCAGGAATGACCATTCTAATTATTCCTTATTGACTGCTACAGAAACCATAGCACTTAATGGCAACATGTTAATGGTCTATGGGTATTGGTCAATAATTCATATGTGGAGAACGGTACAGAGCCTGCTTCCTCTGGGACATTAGCCAAGCCCACTGCAATCTTACAGAGTGCTAGAATTCTTCCACCTTTAGGTCTCACCTCTTTGCCGTTGTGACTGAATCATCACCTTTGTTGAATGTTTGGTCTTGAGGGAGTTGAGTGTTTTTCCTTCCAGGTCAGAGAAATAGATCACTGACCAAATCAGTCAGGTTACAGAACTGGCTCTCCTGGGGTGGGGAGGGCCGTCAGGCCCAGGGAATGAGTTTCCATTGCTCTCCCGTGTCTTCAGGTTGCTCGGCGTTGGGGCATCCAGAAGAACCGACCCGCCATGAACTATGACAAGCTCAGCCGTTCTCTACGCTATTACTATGAAAAGGGCATCATGCAGAAGGTAAGCAACTGCTGGAGACACTTAGGCTTCTGACCACTTTCAAGGAAAATGTCAAGGGCTTCTGTAATAGACTTTATAATGGCTAGTGGAAAATATTAGCCTTGTAAGTGAATCTCTGGTAAAGAAAGATCTTGGAAAAATGAACTTAAGAGACAAGTGAGATATAAAAAGCACCTTTTAAACTGTGGCTATAGTTAGATGTGAATGCACATAGGAAAATTAAGTTCTTCTTTACCTATGTCTCTGGAAAATGTCCAGAAACTTAGGGCAACTGTTCTGTCCATAAAGGTGCACGTAAGGGGATCAACTTGAGGGCTTCTGCTCCCACTGCAACTTAGTTGAAGTCTCTAATTGTTAAAACACCTACCTAGACCTCCAGTTCCAATGATTTAATACTCTCAAAAGTGTTATATCAACAGTAAGAAAATCTTATTATTCTTTGGGAACCTATGGAAACTAGACTTGCAGTTACAAACCCCAAAGTTTGTAAAATGTTAGCCAGTGCACCTGGTAGTATTTGCTCTTTGCAGAATAAAGGATGGTTTGTCTTTTGAGGACACCGGTACAAAATCCTCAGTAATCCTACAACAAAGAACCACAACCTAAAACGGCAAATTCTTTGTTATCTTTCTCAGCCACTGGGTTTTGCTTACTTTGTTACCTCACTTGTACGTCTACACATAGGCAGTGTATATGGGGGTGCCATCTGGGTACCCTGGCACAGCAGCTGACATTCCCACCAAGAATTTGTCTACACTGACACCAGCTTTATCTTCCTCATAAGTTTGTTGTAAAGTAACCCCACATGCCTCTTGATACCTTAAAAATTATTAAGCAGGGGCCTCTGTGGTGGCCGAGGGGTTAAGTCTCAGCACTGTCACCTCTATGGTCAGTAGAACTCAGCAGAACTCTCCTGTCTCACCTGCTGCTCCCCTCAGAAGTGTATTTCAGTACATCGGCCTGTTCTGCTCCCCACTCTGTTTCTGGTGAATCCTCTCACCCCCACCACCTCTGGCTCACACCCCAGTTTTTCTAGACCCAAAAAAAAAAAAATTACTAGACATCTTATGATGGCTTTCTGGATAAAATACACACATTTGAGTACATCATACAGCTGGAAGGCTGTTCTCAGTCTGGAAACTATCTAACTGCGTTTCGTCATTCACACTTGATGCCTTTCAACTAGCATGATCATCTTAATTTTAATTAACGTAGTATTTACTAGAGAATATATGTCACATGTACATAAATTATCAAGCAGACTTAAATGGAAAAATACCAATTAAACTATCACCCTACTTAAGAACTAGAACATCCCTAACGCCTTCATTACCTGGCCAGCCCCTGCTTGTTTTTTGTCCAAGAATCTGAAGTCTTCAGGCTGGGTTACTGGATCCCCTTTACTACTTCGCATTAGTGACTGTATTCTCCCTCTATTCTGCCTTTCTCTCTGTGTTCTAAACTATGGAGTTCTTGTCAATGCCTCCCATAGAGCAGAAGCTCCTTTGGGGAAGAATTGAGGGCTTGATTTTGGTGCTTGGCACAGTTAATAGGTACTCTAAGGTGGGTGGTCACCCCCTCTCCTCTCCTCCCTTTTTTTTTTTTTTTTTTTTAAGATTGATTTATTTGTACATACAGAACTGGGGTGCAGGCTAGAGGCTCAGGGGTGGCTAGAGGCTTCACCAGAGAGACCAGGGTGGGGTACAGAACAGGCAGATCGACGAAGTACACTGCTGAGGGGAGCAGCGGGCGGGTCAGGAGAGGTCTGCCTCGCCACGTGGTCACCTCTGGGGCAGGCGGGAATCGAACTCATGCGGAAGTGGCTTTAGCTTCTCAGTGCTGTGCTTTAACCCGCTGCGCCACCAGGGAGGGCCACCTCCCTTTTTTTTTAACAAGTAAAACTCAACAGTTTTTAATAGAATCACAGAGCTGTGCAACCACACTCTGAATGGTTTAGAACTGTTTATGACACCAAAGGCCCCATACCCATTAGCAGTCACTTCCCATTTTCCTCCAATCCTTACCTGTGAGTAACTATTTTACTCTCCCTGTGAGTAGCTATTCTCAACTCCAAACTCAATATGACAAAATGTAGCCAAGACACAGTGGTAATGAGTTGCCCCTAGAGTAGTTTCTAGGTTTTCTAAGGAAATGGAAGAAGAAAAGGCAAAGACCAAACCAGGATGAGGTTTTTGGGAGATCAGGTCTTCACGTCCCCACTTACTAACTTCTTGAGAAAAGTCACTTAGCCTTCCAACCTCTTCTTCCAGCAAAAAAAAAAATGTAGAAAACCAGAGAACTGCGTAGAACTCTGACTTAGAAAAACTAAACAGGGATGGTGAATCATGTGCCTGCCGTTTTACAGATTTGTGCTACTAAAGACACTAATCATCCAGTTTCATGCATCCAGCCCTCCAGTTCTAGTGTTTGACTTCCAAGGAACACCCAAGTTCTGGTGACAGGACAATCACCATAAAATAAGATTTCAAGGCCTCTTGGGGTAATACTAACCACCATGGCAACAGATGTCTTAAACCCAAGATTTGGATGCAAAACTGTGGTTCTGCAATTACATAGATTTTAGAACCACAACAGAGTGAATGAAGTGCAGAATTAACTCAACATTTCAAATTTCTGAGTCTAAAATGTTTATCAGTAATTTAAGCTTCTTTCCCTGCCATTGTCCACATTAGCTGGATGAAATGTATTGCTGGATTTGCTTTACAGTGGTTTGTATTTCCTTGCACTGTTGCTTAACTGCCACCAGAGAGTGGATATCCCTTTGACTTCATAGCTTGTCAACTGTATCCTGAAACCTTAGACTACTCCAGACCGTTTGCTTCTGATAACATTTTATTGCATAAAACTAATAGAAAGATAGTTATTAATTTCATCTGTGTAGCTCCTGTTACTCGTGGAATGAGTAATTTGCAACTACAGGTAAGCCAGAAAGCAATTCTTTTGACTTTGGAACAAACTTAAGATTTTCACACAGGCTTTGATCAAATTCCTAGCCCATCAAAGTAACAAAGCCATACTATGAAGACTGCAGACTTTGTAGGTAACTGAAAGCTTACCTACAACACAGGGTGTGTACATAGGTACAATGCAGATGTGGTCTGACATCTACATTGTACCTTTCTATCCTGATACCTTCTTATAACACTAAGCACCAGCCTCCACATAACTGCCTTTTCTAAGCTCTCCATATAAGATGGCTGTGATTTTCTTTTCAAAGAAATTCACTTATCTTCCATTTCACCTTTTTGACTTGCCAAGATATGATGTCAACAAAACACCTGGCAGCTAATAGGTCCCTCGGATTTTCATAATAAATCGGAATCATTCATAATAAGCCGATGAGTGTCCTTTGGTCCTTGGCTCCCTGAGAGCATGGTGACCAACAAGTACTTCTCTTGGACCCCATGCCCTGCTCCAGCTGGGCCTCACAAGCTGTGTTTTCTCTCTCAGGTGGCTGGGGAGCGATATGTCTACAAATTTGTCTGTGACCCAGATGCCCTTTTCTCCATGGCCTTCCCTGACAACCAGCGTCCGTTCCTGAAAGCAGAGTCTGAGTGCCACCTCAACGAGGAGGACACCCTGCCACTGACCCACTTTGAAGACAGCCCTGCTTACCTCCTGGACATGGATCGCTGCAGCAGCCTCCCCTATGCTGAGGGCTTTGCTTACTAAGTTTCTGAGTGGCTGAGCGGCCAAACCCTAGAGCTAGCAGTTCCCATTCAGGCAAACGAGGGCAGTGGTTTTGTTTGTGTTTTTGGCTGTTCCTAAAGCTTGCCCTTTGAGTATTATCTGGAGAACCCAAGCTGTGTCTGGATTGGCACCCTTAAAGACAGACACCTTGGCTGGGGAGTGGGAACAGGGGATGGCAGAAAACCACCAAAAGGCTGTTGCCTCAGCGCTGATCCTGACAAGGTTTCTGGGAGGAGATTGAAATGGACCCTCCTTCCTATGGACGATATATGCAAAGCAATACCTTGTTCAGGTTAGTACCCACAGATGGGGACAGAGTGTGTGACAATCTGCATTGGTCATGGACTACTAAATGCCTTTACGCAGAAGGGCTCTGATTTGCACAACTTATTAAGAACAGTAGGTAGGCTAAGTTGGGGAGGCTCAAACCATGAAGGGTTACAAATATATCTTGAAACTCAGAGAGCTCTTCTCGCTCAATCTGAAACATTCCCCCTAGGTCTAAAAAGAAAGGGGGAGAGTCAGAACAGCTGTTACCCACTCCATGGTTCTCAAATAATAAACCATTGCTACTCTGTTGGGAACTTTCTGGCCATGTGGTCACCAAGTAGAACAAGTCCCCTTTCCCTTCCCAGTCACATGGCTGTATGTGGATGGCTTTAATTTTAGGAGAAGGGTGATGAACACTTTTGACAGTATTTTGTTTTGCTTTGATTCGGGGGATTGTTTTGTTTTGGTGGTTGTTTTGGAAAAACAGTTTATAAACTGATTTTTGTAGTTTTGGTATTTAAAGCAAAAAAAAACCTTTTGGTAACTCTGCACTGCGTCCTTTGGACAGGGCGGTGCCAACTTATGAAGACGCTGCAGCTTGAAAGGGGCTTTGCTGGGGGCTTCCCCTTAGCCGTGGATAAGCCCACTTTATTGCCTGCTTTGTGCTTTCTGCACCAGACAGCCTGATGGCACATTTGCACCTGAGTTGTACATTTTTGAGGTGTGCAGGGCAGCCTGGACACACCGCTTAGATTCTATGTGTATAGTTCCCCGTGTTCTCTAACACGCCTCTGGAAAGCATATGTACATAATCCACGTCATGTGCATTTGAAACCTGGTCACTTGGTGGGAACCCTGGGGAATTCTTCCCTGGGCAGGACTGATGACAATTTCCATTTCATCAGTTTGTTTTGTTTTCCTTTAATTCTTGGACTTTAAACCCTGCATATGATTCAATAGGGTTTGAGACTCATGTGTGATGCTGACAGGTTAAAAAAAACCAAAAACCAAAAAAAAAACAAAAAAAAAACAGTGCTAGCATCTTAGTTTCCTGCCACCTTTAAAAAAAAAAAGTTCTTTTCTGATGGCTGTATAATATTGGAAAAGTTTTGAACAACCAAGCTAAAGCTATGTGAAAGTTGAGCTCTAAGTATAGGACAAGTTTTTAGAAAGTGGTAGTACTTTACTGCCTGCTCTGATGGTAGAATCCGCGCTCCCCACGAAACAGCACACTAGGAACTGCTGGGCGGGTATTCAGACGCCTGTGACAGTGCAGATTCCGTGAGGGTGACACGTGCTTTGAATTGCTTTTCTATTAACGGAGCACTCCATAATCGCAGTCCTCCTTATGACCAGCAGCACATTTGTGAAGAGGTTCACGGGGACGAGGGTGCATTTTATAGCAATGGAAACATAAGGTTTTCCTCTGTTGGAAGCTAATTGGCCCACAAAGGTATTGAACCTACAACTTGGGCCTTAATTAGCATTGTACTCTAATCAAAGGACTCTTTCCAAACCATATTTATAGCTTTCTAACCTATACATAGATGCATAATTTACCCCCAGCTGGCTAGAGATTTATTTGTTGTACATGCTGTATAGGATTTGGTTTTCCTTTCTCTCCTCCTGGTTTGGGTTTTATTCTGATGGATTTATGCTGTCTTAGCAAGTCTGAGAAGGCCCCTCTGTAACCTGAGCTACCCCTCCCTGCCGTAACTATGTGGCCTGTGCTGTCACGAGATATAGGACAGCGCTTCACCATTGCATTCCCATCGGACTCACGCACCTCCTGGGTGGTTTTGGGGTTTTTATTTGTTTTGTTTCGTTTTGTTTCTGTTTTTTTGCTTCTTTTCCAGAGTGTGGAAGGTCTACAGTGCAGAAAGGCTTCACCTGCCAGTTGATTTGAAATCCTTTCCCCTGCGCAGGGCCGTATGCATCCTGCCAAGCTGCGTTATATTCTGTACTGTGTACAATAAAGAAGTTTGCTTTCAGTTTACCAAGAGCCTGGAACCGCCTCTTTCTTGCCCGCGTGATCTACCTTTAGAGCTGCAGATGCCACCTGGCTTGTTCTCCCTTCCTCCCCTCCCCCCTTCCTTTTCTCCTCTCCTCTATCAGCCTTTACCAGTTGACTATGGAGCTGAGAGTACTTTAGAAAACTCTTACCTGGAGAAATTCACAGGTGCTCTTTGGTCTCATCTCTTAAACCCTGGCTAAAAATTTGATCCGAAGGAATAGACAGCCAAACAGTGCTGTTCCTGCAGAGTGAGGGGCTCTCACTAACTCATTCCCTTGCGCCAACCTGCTCATATAGGAACCATACTTAAAAACCACTAATGGGGGCCCAGAGGTGAGGGAGATGACTAAGCTAGGACTTGCAGTTTCAGAATGAATGTAGCTCAGCCCCTTAGGTGGACTCTTGGGAAGGCAGTAAGATCTTACAGGGCCGTTCATTTTCTTAGTGTCCTCAACAAGTTTTGATCATAAGTAGAATTTTTTCTTTTTATAGAAAGAATGATACTGTGATTTTTATTTATTTATTTATGCATACAGAACTGGGGTACAGGCCAGAGGTGCAGGAACGGTGAGAGGATTCACCAGAAACAGAGTGGGGAGCAGCAGGTGGGTCAGGAGAGGTCTGCTGTGCCATGTGGATCACCTCCAGGATAGGTGGGGATCGAACTCATGCTCAAGTGGCTTTTAGCTTCTCAGTGCTGTGCTTTAACCCCCTGTGCCACCAGGGAAGTCCCATAAGTAGAAATTTTACTAGTAGTTGGCCCCTCAAAAACAACAAAAACTTAGTAAGATCTCTTGTTTTGTTTTGTTTTGTTTTGTTTTGTTTTGTTTTGTTTTGTTTTCCTAGCCTAGCTCTGCAGCAGTTAAGAATCCTCCAAGTTTGTCAGTAAGAATCCTCCAAGTTTGTCTCTTTCTCATGGGTATACACCACTTGGGAAAAGTGTGGAAGAAAACTGTTTGCAGGCTGTGTGCAGTATCCGGCCTCCTAGTATTCTTATTTCACCCTTTTGCTGCACCTTTCATTGGGGCCTTTTCAAGACTCCTATTACAATAAAGAAATAGTCTTTTGCAAGCCTCTAACAGAAGGCTTTCTGTAAGTTTATCTACTATCTCTCTTTCACTGTTTTACAAGCCCTTAAGTGTCGAAACATCTGAGACCCAATCGGTGCACAGCCGCTTGAATCGGAGCTTGTGAAGGATGAATGTCTGCCACATAAACCCATTAGCTTTGGCAGATTAAGAAAAGATGCTTGGGGAGAAGGCGGGGAGCTCAGGACAAAGCGAGCTGTGCTCTCAGCTTCCCCACGATAAGGCTTTGACAATCAGCTCCCCATTATTCACGGACTCGTTATCCAGCCTGGGCCCCGATCCAGATCCTTAACCTAATGTGGGAGGTCACCAAACACTGGGCTGCCCTTCTAGTGTTGGGTGCCAGGATAAGGAAGCCCAGAAAATGGGAAGTTTACTCTTCCTCAAGGTCCCCTTTCAAGAGCCAAGCTGGGGAAACAATGCTTATTCAGTTGTTAGATGACAAAGAGGTAGTGTGAGGGCAAAAGAATGTGGTTTTCAGAGCCAGAGCTGTGCAGAATCTAAATTCTAATGCAGCTGGGACAAATGTAAACGAATGTGAAAGAAAAATGCTCATGAACCCAGACAGTTGGGAACCTTGGAGAGACAGCCCATTGCCCAGTGATGCAGGTGGCTGGATTTCAGTGCGTGGCCTCTGAAGCAAACACCAAAGGGGAAAAAAGCCCAATCAACAGTTTTAACACAAATAGATACCATAAGCATTGATTTCGTTCCGTGTCAGAGGATTGTACTTAAAATAGGGGCTGGAGGTGAGAGTGGACAAGATGCTATGTCCTTTTGATCCCAGAAAATAATTCTGGTATTCCACGCAGGAGGGGTCCCCAGAGTGACCAGCCTTTCCTGAGATCCAGTTTAGAGACACAGACCCAAGTTACTGACCTTGGCAATGAACCGTAGGTACTAACCTTTCGATAGCACTTTACAGCTTACAGAGCACTTTTCATCCCCATTATCTTTCTGGCAGGCTTTCTTAAATGGTAACACTTTGTTGAAATTGAATCTGAAAATGCAGCTGTTAGCCTCCAAAATTACTTTCTTGGAATGTTCACAGTGGCTACTATGGAAAGTGGGCTGGATGCTGGGAGGTAACACATGGAGGTTCTGGCCCCGGCCATGATTGATTGGATTTAACTTGATCATCTTAGTCTCTACCTGGTCTAGCCTCCTACATGACTGAGGCTGAGGCAGAAATTCCTTGGGAATTGGGGCTGGGGGTATGCATATGTTTTGAAATTAACAGTTCAAAACATTCTCAAGTCATTACCTTTAAGCAAGCTCTGAAGATCGCTCACTCCTGCCCCTTAGGCCCGTTTACTCCACAAGCTTCCACTGAGCACAGGTTAGATACCAGGTATTGCGGGATACTCACAGTAAATGATCTGAAGTGGCATTTTCAAATCAAATCCATTTCATGGTATGGCAATACATGTGAAAGCAACTTAAATTTTTTTTTAAAGATTTATTTATATATACAGAACTGGGGTACAGGCTAGAGGTGCAGGGGTGGTGAGAGGATTCACCAGAGAGTGGGGAGCAGAACAGCCAGATCAATGAAGTACACTGCTCAGGGGAGCAGTGGGCGGGTCAGGAGAGGTCTGCCACACCATGTGGTCACCTCCAGGGCAGGCGGGGATGAACTCATGCTGAAGTGGCTTTAGCTTCTTCGTGTTGTGCTTTAACCCGCTGCACCACCAGGGAGGCCCCCGCAGCTTAAATTTTTATCTGCTCTACTCACCAGCTCATAACTCCAATACTACTGACACCATCTTTTTCTGGCCATATTGATCCAACACTGAGGCTAAGCTTTGATCCATCAACTCCTGCCCCTACTGGTGCAGGATTATTCCTAAGGGTGTTAACTCTCCAAGAAGAGAAGGGGGTAGGTACAGTGATCAGTGACTGGGATCTGTTAGCAGAGTAATGCAGGTGAGCTGGGAGGGAGGGTTGGGAGGTCTGGGAGGGTATTTGCTATATCTACATGCAACATTAGGAGGCTCTCCCGAATGACTTTGTTCCCTTGTCCTCTTACTTAAAGGTGGGTGAGTCTTTGCTTCCAACTTTCCATGTTAATCATCTATTGTATGCAATATGCTGTGATCATGCTTTAGAGGGAGGTTGGAAATACACAAAACCACTTTTCCCTTAAACAACTCACATGCTAATGAGGGAGTCATTTATATTATATGAAACTAGAATAGAGAAAACAACATACTGAGTATTATTAATCCAATAACTAGTGCTTACTCTATGTATGCTGGCCCCATGCTGCTTTACAACTAGTGAAATGGGGCAATATGTAAATTTCTGTTCTTAAGGATTGTGCATTCTGGGGGAGGGGGCAAAATAATAGCAAATAATCACAGTGTTGGTTAGCATTATGGAAAAGAATAAAGCGAGGAAGGGAAAAAGTAAGTGGTAGGGTTTGGGAGTTACAATTTTTTATAGGACCTAGTACTTGAAAAAAGAGTCAAAGAAAAAAAAATAATCAAATTGATGTATGAAAAAAAAAGATTCTAGGCAGAGGGAAAAGCCAGTGCAAGATTTGAACGTGCTTGGAATATTTACTGAACGTAAGTATGTGAGATTGCATCAGAAGGAGTGAGGTGGCATGTACGAAGAGGTAAAAGTCAAAAAAGTAATGGGTTATATCATCTAGGGCTGTGAAGGCTTTTAAGGACTCTGGTAATTAACTCAGTCAATGTTTAGCTGTTAGAGATTTTGAGCCAAGAAGTGACATCAGCTGATTTATATTGTAAAGCTCTCTCTGGATGCTGTGTTGAAAATAGATTGCAAGGGAGCAAGAAAGAAAGCCAGACCAGGTAGTAGGTTATTTTAGTAATCCAGGTGAGATGTGCTTGTATCAGGGCATATGGAGATCATAAGCTGTATTTAAAGTACAGTCAGTCGGTTTTGGAGAGAAAAGAGCCAGTTATGGCCCAAAGGTTTTTTGGCTAGAGTACAAGAAAACATGAAGTTGTCATTTACTGAGATAAAAAAAAAATAGAAGGAAAAATTGGAGGCGGGGCTGGAGGAAGAGCATACATTCTATTTTGTGCATATTAACTTTGGATGCCTACTAGGAATTCCAATGGAAACCTTGATTTGGATATACAAGTCTGGAGTTCAGGGGAGAGGTCCATATAGAAATAAAGAATTTTTGGTATATAAGAGAGTATTTAAAGTTGAGACAAGATGAAATCACTAAGGAATAATTCCAGATGGAAAAAAGAAAAATTCCCGACTGAGCCCTCGAAGATAAGACATTAGGGAGATGAAGAAAAGTCAGCATAGGAGACTGAAGAAGAGTGGTGAGTTGCGCAAAAATAACCAGGGAAAGTAGTCAACTATGACACATGCTTCTGTGTGTCAAGTCAGATGCAGACTGGGGCTGAATTAGCAACGGAGGTATAGGTTGCTTGCATGAATCATTTCCATACAAAGGAAGAGCTAATAGACACAACTGATCAGTACTACTGGAGTCTACAGGAGGTTTGAATTTATCTTCATGTGGGGTCAAGGATCAGAGAAGATCTCATGGATCCAAAGTCCTAGGTTTGAGTCTAGCTCAGTACTCTCACTAGTTCTATTCTCAGACTCAGAATTTGAAAAAACTTGAGTAATCCCTGCCAGGAATCCTGCCCAGAAGGCATAGGGTAGGAAAGAGTGACTTGAGGATAAAGGGAGGAGAGATGAAGACACTGTTAACACCATCTTTCTCACCACTATAGAACTTCTTGTTCTGTGCTTTTAAAAAAACCATGCATTGAACTATTATGTGTTTTTAAATAATTCTCTCATGTTGTACAATTACCATATATTCTTGGTTAGAAATCATAACCCAAACTTAAAACTTTCTGATAGATCAACCTAGATGTCAGAAGCTTTATTGTCTAT